AGAAAATAACGATGCTCAAGCATAAATAATCTCTTAGCTTTTCGCTCGATATCTCTTTGCGTTTTCATAACTTCAAACCAATTGGACAAACTAAGCGAACATTTTTGTTCATCTATGAAAAGGCGTACTTTGTGAGTGTTAATAAATGTTAGCTTTCATGAATTTTCGAACATATTCCTTTTTTTTCATTGTATTCCCAAGCTTGCAAAAAATGCAAGCAACTTATTCTAGTCTTTTTTTTCTGGAGCAAGATGTGGTTTATACGAATACCACTAAATGATAGTATGCAAAGCTGAACGCATCCTGAAACAATGAGACTTCGGATAATTTATATAGGAAATAGTAAAATAAAGTATGAAAGACACGAACTAGTTCTTTGAAAAGTAAATGCTGTATACAGCACCTTTATATGGTGCTTCAGTACTCACAAGAAACGCAAGCCACTATTAATGAAAACACTTTGAAAGTCATTATTGATATATTCTCGTCGTATTATTATGTTAATTTTTTCCATTTATATCTGTATTGATCTTTTCTGTAGGACTTTATAGAGACTTCAACGGTGATTTTTTTTTGAAAAAGTCTGTTACGATACAATAAAAACTGACAGACATATGTGTAAGCACCAAATTTGAGTCATAACGAGTTCCAGCGTAAGGAAACATATAAGTTTTCAGAACGATGAAAAAGAGGTCCTGCTTGAAATTCGAATCGCAGAGCTTCTATTATCCATCCAGATGGATGTCTTAAGTTAATTAGACTAGAAGAAACATTTTCGTCTACGTTTAACGTCCGAGTGTGCTGCCATAGCCACCAATCATATCGAGGAAACAACCATGGCTGATTTATCCTAACTCACCTGTCAATTTGAGAATATATGTAAAAAAATAAACAGGAGAAGGAATCTTCAGAGCGAGTATTATCCATAAACTGGCTTAACTTTTAAGATTGTCGTAGGTCTTATTCTGTCATAACGAGATATTACAAGCATTCAATAATTTTATTATTGTATCACTTGAAAACAATCAACTCATTCTGGGAAACAATATCAGAACGTTATGGAAAGAACAAACACCGACCAGCTGTCCACATACAGGATACTCATTTCAATATTTCTAAGTTTCGCATTATTCTCAGAGTTTTTCGGTTATATGTGATCCCCTAGGAAAAACCCTTTATGTTTCCGTGCCACATCCTTAACGGGTCCAATTCGGATCCTTCATGAATGCGCTTTTTCTCCGACGAAAATGACTAAATTCTGAAAAAGCATGTAGGCACGCAGTTGCAAGATCCTATCATGATCATTACCAGTTTTACACTATTTTTGAATCAAGAATTCGCTAGGATTTCAGTGATTCGGAATCGAAACAATTTTGGTTTGCATTCTGTCGCATTTATTTAGATTTCCTCAGGGATGTTATCATTTTCCTAACAGGATCTTTGCACGACTTTACTAGGTTTATTTGAGAATGTTTTCCAATATTTTGGCAGAACCCTTGCAGACTTTTCTAAACAGAATAGAAACAAGTGAATATATAGAGTATTGATCTACAAATCTCTAGTATACATATTGATCAGCTAACCTGGCTCAATTGTTTCATATATTTCTATTCCAGTTTTATACGAATAAAAGTTATCTCAAAAACTTGTGAAAATGCAAAATTCTTCAAAATATTTTTACCATTGACTTAATCTTAGCATTCAATTTTCCTTTCGCTCATTCTCAACAATATACGTATAACTTTTCTCACGCATAAATAAAACTATGAGCTGCTTTTACCGAGAAATATGCCGCGGACTAAACATATTCATTAAATGAAAAACTATTGAAATGATGGAGTTATAATCAACACAGTGGTTTACATACTTTCAGGCATTTAGCTTCAATCTGAATTTTCAAACGAAATGGCGGGCTTGGGGGTCTTTAGACTTATCCATCATATTTATAGCTATAGATCGTAGTTTTTTAGGAAATCTATAGCTATTACTGTAATGAATAATTCTAAAGATCCGCGAAGACTCCCTAGTCTCCCCATCTCTAAAAAAAAGCGGGTTTCTATCTAATAATGTTATGAGTAGTCTTAAAGACCTCCGAGTCCCCACATTGTAAAAAGGTACGCTAATATCGCTGATGTGAATAATACTGAAGGAACAGCTTCATCGGGAGCCATGAAATTGGTATACGTTCATGTGTCCGATAGCGGCGTCATATCGCTGGTTTTATGGTGATTCGTTTTGGTAGGGCCCGTTACGGCATGTGTGCGCTTTTCTTTCTAGAGAAGAGTCGCTGAAACGGCGACTGTTGCTTATTTAGGTTGTTCTTTGTGAATCGTTGGATGTATTCCTCGATTTCAGTCGATTATTTTCTGCTGTACCTCTCCTGTATTGTGGTGAGGAGTCATCTTCTTTTTGTAGAACCCGAAGTCTCCATTCGTGGATAAAGTCAGCGGTCTTTTTTTTAAATTTGGTTTGAATTGTAAATATTCATAGAGTCGTAATTTAATAATATTTTGAAATTTTTTTATAAAAAAATACCAAAAAGAATTGTTGTTGTCAACCGAATACCTTGATAAAATTTATATAAATGTGGACAAATGATGTTAAGAAAAAGATTTGAATGATTTCACTACAGTCGCTTTATTTCTATGTGACAAGTTCCGAACTCCTACAGAGACCAAAATTTTAGTACTTCAACGAGAGCACTTAGAGTATCAGCTTCAGATCCTTACCAGATGCTATCCGGTTCTTTCAGAGATTTGCTTTCTTTTTCTGAGAAAACGAGTAAATCCTAAAAAATTGTTTAATCATGATAATTCAAAATCCTGAGTAGATTACCAAAGTGTTTTAAATTAGAAGTCGTCCAGAAAACTGATAGTTCATGAAAAACCCGTGTAACATCGCAATTTCAGCACATTGACACTAGTCAAAACACGATTCAATCAGAATCTTTACTAATAGACGACCTCTTTTGAACCAAGAATGATTCTAGAGACAATATGTTGTTCTGGGTGTGAATGCGAGTTCATCAGACGTAGATTAACAGTCTCATTCAGTGAGTCATCTTTCTATTGAACTGTCATTGTGATGCTTTTCAGATTAAGCTGCAACAGTAGTGGACAATAGTACCCAGTCCCTGGGGGAAATTGTTCCCGTTTATGGAGAAATGCTTCGCCCCACAAAAAGTCATGCATATAAAGGAGAAATGGAAAGAAAGAATAATATATATACATATATATAATACATTATATGATATTGCACACATAGTTGAATATAGGGAGAAATGGTTTTTCTCTCAAAGTGAAATGATTCAACAAGGAGGAATGGAAAGAAAAAAAAATAATCAACTACTAACCATGTAAAATAAATCGCGAAATCGTCAGTTGTAAATCTAGTACTGACGATTCAACGCGTGTATACGACTATATATACAGAAGAGAAAAAAATCTGATCGATATCTCTGCCTATTAGACTTCTTCTTGTTGAAGTAGAAATGGATGAAGGACTTCTGCTTAAATTTTTTTCCATTTCTACTGGGTGATCTTCTTAGAAGAAAGGAGTAATATGATGGGTTTCTGCTACCTGGTATTTCAACCATTTCTGCGGGAAAAATCGATTTCTGCTAGAAGATCTCCTTAAGAGACAAGTAACGTTCATCGTCAAGCGATTCACTTAGTCCTAGACTGATAGAATACATGTACGGATGTAATAGCATAAAAAGCTACATTAAAAAAGGAATACGCAAAATTGATAATATGACCAGTATATCTTAGGCGAGCAGAAAACTTAATTTGAAGAATTCTCACTCTAAGTAAAGATGATGCATTTACAAATTTTATTTTTTTTGTCGTTTTTGTTTTATTTTTTTTTGCTTTTATAAATATAAATAGCACCCAATAACATTAGACAACAATGCGATTTTTTTATAATTATATTGGGGCTATTTGTACGTACAAAAATATGAATTATATTATTCATAAGATTTGAGCTTTATTAATCAATATTTTATACTTAAATTCGCGCATTAATTCTAAACTATTAATAAATTAGATATTCATTGATACAACATTGCACAATCAATCCTACAATAATGAATAATTTAAACGATTTCTTTAAATCCATACTGCTCATTTGCTCTGACTATCACTAATTAAATTAGGGGTGAGAATTTATTGTTATTGTTATAAATAACAATAACTATTTTTGTTATTGTTATTTTATAACAATAACTTTTTTTGTTATTGTTATTTTATAACAATAACTTTTTTTGTTATTGTTATTTAATAACAATAACTTTTTTGTTATTGTTATTTATAACAGTTATATAACAAATAACTTTTTTTTTATTTGTTATAAATAATAGATAAGTAATAAATAACTTTTTATTTTGAAGAAAATTCTCTACTCCGATCACTCTCTAGTTCAATTATACTGATTCTGTTGGCCTATGCTGAAGAAAATGAATTTTCTACTGTTATGACGTCAATAGATTTAGAGATCTGAGAGTTTCCATAGATTGCATAGATAAAGATTTCAAGGTTTTTTCACTATTTAAAAAAAATAGTACCTAATCGACATCTCTGAAAATTTTCATGATTTGAATTCATTTAATTTTCTTGATGTGATGAGATAGCTGAAGTTGAGACAGTTTTCTGAACTCAAAAAAAAATGTTCATTTGGAAATACTTGATAAATTTCTTTCTCAACGATTGGTCGTAATCTAGAGGCATATGGTAGTTGTATGTAGATGAATGCTTATTTTTCAAAATCAAGATTGTTAAAGTAAAGGAATACTGATCGATTATCACGGGTCATCTCACTCTCCGTTGACCAAGAGTTTACTCAAACAATTCTTGGTCTACAGCTGTCACTTCCCTCAACACATATAACTATAGTTGACAAAAGCTAAATGAACAGGAAAATAAGAAAACCTAGTAAATATCTAGAACTTGATAAACCAAGGTATATCACGATGTATAACAACCGAATGAATCAGAATACGACTACACAGAAGATGATCCAGCAGCATCAAGAGACAACGATTGAAATTGACGATTTTGAAATAAAGACGGTTGATCTGTGGATTGAAATTTGAGTAAATTTTTTCGGTACTTGAGGACTAGAAGTTGACGTAAAGTACGAGATGATAATGATGAACGTTGTTTTCGTGCAATGAATCCGGAGATCGAAGAAGCCGATTCGCTAGCAACTGATGTAGCAGGTACAATACAATACCGATGAACCAATGCTGCAAGACGTGGAAATGAATGACCATTTGTAGACCAAAATTCCTTGAAAGTTTGTTTTGTTTTGATTGCATTTGAGAATAAAGAAATTTCAACATCAGCACTCATTGATCTAACATTCGTTTGGTTCGTATTAATTCCAGCTAATCGATTCATCAACTGTTTGGCAGTATCTTTTTTTGAGAGAACTGAATAAGATGCTGGTGATGAACGAGATACAGTACTTGCTGTTGTTGATGTAGTTGTCGATATTTTACCGATCTTTTGCTTGACGATTTCCATTGCTTTAGCAAAATCATTTTTGTTCATATCGTTGTGTGTTTCTGGATCAAGAAATGCTGCAATCTAAACAAAGAAATCGCTTCTTTTTCTCAGATAAAACTACAAAACTAATTGGAAATTCTTTCTTTATAGATAGAAATAGTCCGCCCATGTAAAAATGTATTCAAAATTTAACGATTTAACGAAATTTAATGTTACCTTTCTGTCCTTGAAAACGCGTTAAAATATGAATTTAACGAATGTTCACTCGTTTCTCTACGTTAATATTATTTTAACGCGTTTTCAAGGACAGAAAGGTAACATTAAATTTCGTTAAATCGTTAAATTTTGCATACATTTTTACATGGGCGGTGGAAATGAAACAATGAAAAGAAATCTACTAAAATTGTTGAGTTACAGAATGGTGGTTTTGAAATGTGAGAGATGGAGAAAGCTCTCCTTCTTTGTTAAAAAAAAATATTCTATGTCAAGCAGTTTGTTTTAGGAGTGGCACTTTAACTTTACTTTAAAAGTTAAAGTGGCACTTTAAACTTTAAAGTTAAAGTTAAAGTAAAATACTTTAAAACCTCAAACTTTAATTAAAGTGAAACATGTTAAAACTTTAACTTTAAAAAAAGTTAAAGTTAAAGTGTCACCCCTATTTTTTTTTCATTCTAAGAATCTTGGAGTTAATTTCAACAGATTATTTTTCTACAAATCTTCTTAACTCAAAACATAACTATTATATATATATATGAAAAATCAGTTTAAGTGGACTTACGAGCATTCCTTCTTGTTGTTCTTTTGATAAATGTTTTTGTATGTATGCATCGAGATAATTCAATGCAGTTTTTTTCAAAATTTCAATGTAACGAGAAGGATCTGTTTTCGAAATTAAAATTTGACGAAGCTTGGCTATTGCCCAAAATGAATCAGATAGAGTAGGATAATGACTAGCTGAAACGATTGTTGTTGCAGAATCGAATCCGGTCAAGACGTGATGGAGTGCACGGAGTACATCCCAATCATCTGGAGTAAGTGCAGCTAATTTAAGTCGATTCGTTTGAACGAGAGTGAGACCATTGAATTTTCGTCGAACAACGTTGTCGATGATTGTTTGATGTTCAAGTAGACGGTCAAGCATTTGAAATGTGGTATTCCACCGAATCTCCAAAAAAAGTACAAGAAAAATATCATATGATTTTAATCAATCATGAGTGAAAACTACAGTTCTCTCTATTCTACTGGAAATCGAGTCTTTAGGGTGAGATTAGATGGATCACATATGAAATTCGTTTTCAAGCAGATGTTTTGTAAATAGATCATACCTTTCATTCATTTCATTTGATTGTTTTGAAAGGAAAAGCTTACTCGTAAAAGACCTGTATTAGTTAAATTTCAAATGCCCATTCTGTCATATTAAGATAGCACAGCAGTCGCATGGTCCCACGTCACAGATGACTTATTTTATTACGTTTGTTTTACAAACTATAATGCAGGCAAAGATAAACTCTTCGTATTCATTCTCAGCATTTAATAAAAGAATAGATCATTGACAAAGAATCTTAGCGGTTTAGATTAGACTAGTAGTAGTTTAAAAAGATCTTCACCGATATGGGTACTTAGGATGTGAATTTGCGTTGAAAATAGATATAAATTTATTTGCATTGTCAATATTTCAGAAAGAATCTAACAAACATCTGTACATTCTCCTACTCTTTTTATTTAGCTTTTCCTCTGAATGAAATTTCTTTGGAGAATATCTAGATGTATTTGAAAATATAAAGGAACTATTTAAGCCGAACATGTAAAAAAAAAATCTAGAAATTTAACAGTTTCAGTTTGTTTTTATCGCTGAAAAATTAGAAGGAAAAACTTACGACCATATCAACTGTAAAACCACGTCCGTTCCCAATTTCCATCGATATGTATGTTTGAACAACACCAATATTACGCATGTCTTGTATCAGTTGACGGCATCGGCTAAGAAGATTGAAAACACGTTCAAGAAGACCAACAAGAGTAATTAGTCGAGTTTCTGGTTGAATCATAACTGGTTCATCATCTTCACTTAAGAATTCATCTTGAAATGGTCGACTTATTTTCTTGTTGAGCACCACAACTGTGGATCCGGTTGGTTGAATTTGATCATGTTGAGATGAAGCCAAATGAATATTTTCTTGTGGTTCTTCATCGTTCAATTGTTGTGCATATTGATCTTCGTCGTCCAATAAATCATCTTCGTCACCACCAATACTATGAATCGATTCATTGTTGATGATGGACGCTTCATCAATTGGAAATCTGAAACAATTCATTTCTTTTGTAAAGTCAATACAAAGATGGTGCATGGGTATGCATAATATTCGCATTGAAAATACTGTGACTACTGTCGCTGACAAATTTTTGAACGATTCTCAGAAAATTTCTAGCTAGTATTCGATATTAATTGAGCGATGGACATTCTCGATGAATTCGTCGATCAGAGGTCCTACCACGTCAACTTGTTTTAGGTCTGTCCTGCCTAAGGCAGGCACACGCTTTTCCCAACCCGCCTGTGCCTGTCATCTTATTTCTTCGGCCTGGTCTATCTATCTACCTGCCGTTCACTCCACTCTGTCTGGTCTGTCTGCCAAAGTTTCTTTAACTTTTTCATGTGAACATCATTATCATAGTAGAATTAGAATTTAATCTTCGTAGAGAGTCTAACAAGTCACTGGAATGAATTTATATAACTATAGTAAAAACTCTCTAATGTGAGCATCCCAGAAATATTATAAATGTTCATTATACAGGAATGTTTCCTTCTTATGTGTGTCCGAAAGCATGTAAGAATAGAAGTAGAACAAAAAAACGTTTACATTGGAAAGGTTTTTCTATAGTCTGATCAATTAAAAGTCTCAATAAAACGCTTAATTTTTTTCCTGTATTTGTAAAGAAAAAAAAGCCAAGTTGTTACTCAGACTTTTAGCTCATAATACTACAGTAACCATTTCACTATGAGCTAAAGGTCTCTGTTAAAGGTTAAGCTTTTTTTTGCAGAGAGAGGAAAAAATCAAGCTTTCTACTTGTACTTTTAATTGATCAGATTACAGTTGGTAGAAGTTAGAAAAAAAATTGACAGTTCACTGTCATAAGGTGTTCACTAACAATAGAAAGTTCTCGCGTATGTGCTTTCATTTTCAATCAGCTTTTTGTAAACCTCGGTCATCTGATCGCGATGTTATAAAGCGTTCCTCTCTATAGATTGTCATTGAGGAATTAGTTCGATTCCAACTTCAGAAAAATCACTATCAGTCGTTATTTTGAAAACTTCGATTTTATGTTATGTTAGTTCTCAGAAATCAATGATTTAGGATTGAATATGTCTTAATTGACTGTATAAAAACACCCAATTAGCATAAATAGAAAATTCTAATTGCGTCTATTTTTTGATTATGTGAACACCAAATAATACTGTGAAAGTACGAAGTTCAACTTTTTTTTTTGAAAACTGACTGGATCTCAATTAATATTCAGCCATTTAGGGTACACTGTAAATTAATGTTAATCATGTTCCAGTTATCCATCTTATTTACTGTACGTTTTCCCATAAACTTGCGAGAAAACCAATAAATAGAATACAGACTACTGATAACGATATATCAACAAGACTTCAATTACTAAGTCTTTAAAATAAAATTCTCAGAGGATCCTGATTAGTTTTGGAAAAAAATAGTTGAAATTTGTACATATACAGTATTATTTGGTGCTCTGATACTTTAAGAATAGGCACACAGGTCGAAAATATCCTATCGGATCCGAGAAAATCCGATATTATCCGACAATCGAATCCGATGGGATGCCGATAGTCAGAAACCGGCGATGTCCTTTAATTTTCGACGTTTTTCGACAGTCGGAAACCGTCGGATACGACAATATCCGATAATATCGATGTCGTTTGGTCCATTCTTATCAATATTCAAAATACGCTTTAGTCACAGTCTGACAAACAGTGAAGCTATTTTTTATTGCAGAATTCAAGATTAATGTGATTCTTGAAAAGAAATATTTCATATTATATTCACGCAAAATTCTACAATAAGTATTTTATTTTATTTAATAGATTGTTTTTCTTTGTTTTAGGTCAATTTGTTCATCCAAACTGAACAGTAAGTATTTTATTTAATTAGATGAATTTTTTCTTTATTTTAGGTCAGTATATTCATCAAAATTGAGCAGTATGCATTTCTTTTAATTAAATAATTTTTTTTTCTTTTTTTTAGGTCAATTTGTTCATCAAAATTGAACAGTAAGTGTTTCCTTTAATTAAATAAAATTTTTTTTTCTTTATTTTAGATCAATTTGTATATCGAAATTGGCCAGTAAGTATTTTATTTGATGAAATAAATTTTGTTTTCGTTGTTCTAGGTCAATTTGTACATCAAAATTTAATAATAAGTACCCATGCCATGAAAATTGGTTTGATTTTGCCGATTTTCATAAAATTGATGATTAAATCGCGATTTTTCTGCTGTATTTCTATAGCAACGAGTCGAAAAAATTGTGGATTAGTTGTTAGCTGAATTACGATTTAGCTCATAATTGATAGGCAGTTTTTTTGGCTTACTACTATAGAAATAGAGCAGAAAACTCGCAATTCATTCACCGATTTTGTAAAAATCGGCTAGATTTTGCCGATTTTCATAGAATGGCTATTTATTTAAATAGTTATATAATCTATGAAAAAAATAAAAGGCTGAATAGTAAAGCACCAATTCTCCAGGTAATTAATGTCTAGTTTAGTTATAGCATTCCTGTCGGATCATGCACTTTCTGAGATCTTCCGATTGTCGGATCCAACGTCCGACAACTTCCTGTCGAAATCCGATCGAAAAGAATCCGACAACTTTCCGTCGGAATTTGCCAGATTGTCTGAGGTTTCCCGTAGGATCCGACACTCGGATTACTCGTTCTGGGCACAATTAGAACTTACATTTATGCGGATTGTGTGAATTTCTACAGTTAATCAAGATGCATCCAATGCGAAAACTTTGAGTATTGAGAACTAAACTGGCGTAAAAACTGGATAGTGAGGGCGAATGTGGTTCTAATATCCTCATCCATTCTCATCGTGGCCCCTTGATATTAAGAAACAATCTGGTTTTTATTCAAGAACATTTCGAATGAGTCTGAAAGACAAAAATGTCGATCATAGTATTACAATTAAAAGAGGAACGACATTCACTGGGCACTAAATATGCAGCACAAAGAGATCGTTCAATCTTATCTGAACTAACTGCGATCGGAAAAAGATGGCGAGCAGATTATGATAAACAGCGAAGTTTGTGTAGATAATCTTTCCGAAATTGTAGTAAATCTAATCATTTCTAGATATCTTCAAGATTCATTCTTAAGTGTTCACCCAATTCGACATATATAAATGTTATCCTTGGAAACTAACTCAGATGTATCGGTATTCTGAAAACATATTCTATTTATGAGATAAAACTTTGATATGAAAAAAAAAATACACAGACCAGACGCCCTCTCATTTTTCAAGTGATCTGTCTGTCACTGGCAGGCAGACAGGCTTAGTGGCTTGGTTGGAACTCTGTCGATGATCTTTCTTCCGATGATATGTACAGAGAAATATAAATGCTGTTTCTTAAACTATAATAGGGACATTTCTTTTTCGATTTTCTATCTTCTACTGTTGAGATGCATTGGTTTGGATGAGTTTAGCTTTGTCTATTCTCTCTAGACATATAAAAGAGAAAACTTACTTTTCAACATTTGGTGGTGACCATAAGGAAAGACCATTTATGACAACATTGTTCCACACATGTGCTATACAAGCGTGTCTTGGACCGAATAAACCATGTGATGTTGCTGCAACCATTTCACTTGCACAATCGGTTGTTATTCCAGCTCGTTGTTCAGGCCTAATTTGAAATTTTTCATCAAGTTCAAACATAAGAAACGATTGAATATTGACGGCGAGATGACGTTCAGTAAGTTGTCGTAGAGATAACACGAGTGGTACAACTGTAAATTCTTCATCAAACATATGAGCAGTTAAAGAAATGTAATATTTTCTGGCACCACTCTTCCAGATGTCTGCAGTAAAAGCAACAGCTGGTACACGTTTCAATATAGACTAAAAAAAGAACAGAATTACATTTTGGTATTAGGGGTGACCCTTTATCTTTACTATCCCTTATAATAAAGGATAAAGATAAATG